CGCCAGACGACGACAAATTCAAAGAAACGTAAACGTGAACGTTATTTTCGTTCCGATTGAGACACTGATAAAACGTCGCAATCAAATTAGTTTTTTTCGGAGGTGTTTTTTTCATCAAGAGTCTTGGCAAAATTTCACAGTCCTATTTGATGAAAAAATTATAGTCCTTTTTCTGTCGATTTATTGTTATATCTCCAATATCAAAAACTTATTTGTAATATGAAAAAGTGATTGAAAAGACGTCCTCCGGTGAGCTGTTTTTACTCCAAAAGAGACTGGATACAATTCGGCCACAAGAGGGCGTGTTGTACGAGCAAAAAGCACGGACATGCGCACAAACCTAATGTTGCCCTGAAAAGAGCGGTGGATTTGGTCAGTATCAAATTAGGGCATAAATGATTATAGTGCGCATGCGCAAGGTAAACCGCCCCTAAAGTGGTAACAAGCATTTTGATAGACATTTGAAACAAAACCAGGGTGATTGCACCCTAAAAACTGCCACCGCTGCAATGCTATCACATATTTTCCAACTCTGGAGGTGTATACATTGCCAAAATCGGCTATAACGTTGTTTTCCTCATTTGGTACCGGTGGTCAAGCGTTAGGACCAGCCTGATTGGCTAAAGGGCGTTGCACACATAATTATCACAGTATGCCATTTATTTCGTGCAAGTTCCGTCGAAAAAATGATTGTGCACAGGCTAGGCCAAAAGATCCTATAGCGCCGCATATGTGAATATACGTACCGAATATATGCTTCAATTAACTGAATATCATCTTAAGAATGCAACCTGATTTCCCACAAAATTATGATGGAAACTTGAGCGCGTCCTGAACACTGCGACTCAGCACTCTAAAATGCCGGCGGCTCGGCTCCATGACGAACATAAACATGGCATTCGTGTTAAATTCCGTAACTTGAAAAAGTACACGAGCACGGAAGACGGACAGTGCCACTCAATAAGTGTGAATATATTTTTTTGGTACATGTGAAAATATTTTTTGTACATCGGCCGCCACTTATTATCTGGCGGCTGGCACTTATTATTATTAAAAGTAAAAGAAAGCGGAGCTTCTGAACCCAATAGAGCAAAGAAGAGGGTGAAAAGGCAAAGGTGGCTGATGGGGTGGTGGTGGTGGGTTAAGTTTCATGGGCAAACAAAAATGTCTCTTTCCCGGTCAGAGGTGGAATCATAAATGACGCGCCGCCAAACTATTGCGTGCTATCTACATGTACGCAAAAGAACTTTCCACCAATGACCGCCAGTTATTCACGCGTTTAGCGTGTGACGTAATCGTAAACTATCACATCAGGGATCTTCTCAAAATTCTCGAGGTGTCCGCGCGTCCATAAACCTGATTAAACTGCGCTTAATCATCATTTATAGTCAATGGTATTGGTTTCTAATAGGTTAGTGGGGTTTTCTTTCCAGGCGACACCTAACCGTCCCAAAAAGTGCACCGTTGCCGAAAGTCCGCTATAGGGGATCCCATAAAAGCGCGTCTTTTTCTCAGTTTCTTTATTAAACAAATGAAGATCGAAGATTATTTGACTTTGGCAAAACTTAATAAATGTCCGTCAGTTTCATTTTAACGCATTCAGCAGGGCAGTCTTTCCCCTAACTCAAATTAAAATATAATTTGGAGAGTCATTCTTGATGTAAGACATCATTATGTCCTGAACAAAATTTAATCTGAAGGGGAAATGGTGAACTTTTGACATGTTCGACATGTAATTTACGATATTTCAAAATAATACTTGTCTTTTTTGGGTTGGATGTCTAATCATAAAGAATCCAGTAAAGATATTTCCAAAAACAAAACTTCCTCCAAATGTCCACGTTTTCTGAACATAAATTTTTGTATACAAAGCACAATATTGAACTACCTTTTGTTCTGCACCTCCACCTTTCAATCACAACCATGTCATATTAATCTACGCGCAAAGTACAGACGCAAGAATGCACAGCACTTTAAGTACATTTTGAACCAAAAGTGCACTTTCAATGCATGTATTTTAAGCAGGGCCAAACTGTTCACCCTGGATAAAGTTTTTACATTTTGTACAATTACTCTTGTTTTAATTTTATGTAATATGGCATGATCGAGATTCGTACATAGGTTAAATTGTGTGGTGAATAAAATCAAATCTCTGCTTTGCAGTGTAGGGATGCAACCCTGCAAATAAATTTCCATAGACTAGTGCTAAATGCCCATACTTCAAAATTCTTTTAAAAATACTCAGAACTCTCACAGGTATTCAAGCTGCACAGAAAAATGATGATCAACATATGTCATCTTTCGTTATCTTTTCATTTTTTTGTGGGTTGACCATTGACTTTTTGAGATATTGTCACCCAAAGAAGACGACCCCTATTTTCCCCAAAGCGGACAAGTAGCCATCTTGAAAAACGATCCCTCCACAACATGGCAAAATAGCACCACTTTCGAGCCCAATAGCATCCAAAATGCTAAAAATTGGAAGCCCCAAGTCAAGGCTAGAGGTTCATTACCATATCTCTTCAATCCCCAATTTTATGGCGCTCAGAACTCTCTAATATAGAATATTTTGAGGGTATAACTTTTATTCATGAGCTCGGCGGATGGATTTAGGGCCTATTTACCGGTGTGCACCCGTAGGCAAATTTTGTGTCTCCTTACAATAGATCAAGATATGTAGGAAACACTGTATTTAAAATAATGATTTGAGCTAATCTGCGTATTTTTGCACAAAATGTGTTACTTTTTCAGTATCTATGTAGCTTCAATTTAATCAGTGACCCTGCAAACCATGGGTTTGGATTGACACCTCATTTGATAGTATTAAGCAAATTCATGAGGAGATAGGGATATAAGTTTGATCGATAATGGCGGATTCTAATTTGCATATTATGCATAAAATAAATAAATTATTGAAAAACAGTATTAATATTTGTTTACCCCCAAACATGATGGGCACCTCCAAGTTTGGATGAAGTTTTGTAGAGATGAATGCAAAACTTATTTTATATTTTATTGTTTATAAAAGGGAATGTACAACATTTGCTTTTGCTTCAATTTTCAGAAATAAATGGATTTGGAGGACTGGTATGTTATAGAAAATATTGTTGAACGGACTTGTTTCACGTTTTGGGCTTGTAGATTGAAAACCTATCATATACTTGCCGTCTAGTTCCCTGACCCCACTTAAGATGAAACGGAGCAATGGGAATTGTAAGGTCAGAGAATCAGTCTAGCAGGGCCAAGCAGGCTTGTACCCCTTCGCAGGTGTGTAATCAATTGCAAAGAAAAGTCTTAATAACTTTACATGAAAAATTAAAAACAGTTTTGAAAAAAGCCAGTTTTCTCCAATGCTGGTCGGTCGACCAGCGTTGGAAAAATACAACTTTTCTTGAAAACGTCAGCACACCAGGAGCAATGATTTTGCAGGATGCTTTAGACTCTCAGTCCCTAACAATTCAGTAAGGGTTTTCGAGATAATTTGATCATTTCGTTTTATGTTTGCAAATGTTGTATTTTCCCTTTAAAAAAGAAATGCTCAAGGGTGCCAAGGCGGCACCCGTCGGAATATTGATCTACAATGTCCAAATGACAAGAAAAGGCAAAAACATTCCGTCTAAAAAAATCCTGGATCCGCGCCTGATTATCATTATCGAGGGTTGATTATCATTATTGAGGGGCTTCCGCCGTGCGCGCGTCACAGCCGATGGCATCTTTATAGCCCGCCAGTCGACCAGCAATCTAGCTAGCCCGATCAGGGGATGCTTCGTGGACTTGTGGGCGGCATACGATCACCTACACCGCCCCACCCTGTGGAAGATGCTGCGTGTGAGGCTAGGCAAGGAGGCGGACAAGATCATGGACATCATCGAGGCGACCTATGAGCAATCGGAGGCCAACCTTGACGGCACGCCCAGCCCCGATCCACCGCGGCGTGCGACAAGGAGCCGTGGAGTCATGTGTGCTATTCAATTATGCGCTCGACCTCGTAATGCGCGTGGCACTACACCAGATCGAGCGCGAGTATCCCGGAGCTGGAGTGCAACACCGATATGACATCACCAACAAGTGTACAAACAGGATGCAGCGGGCAGAACATGCTGCGAGAGGCGAGGCTGTGACCACAGTGATCACCTATGCTGATGACATACTTATGCTGGGACAAACACGCGAGGAGTTGCAGGGCATGATGAATGTCCTTTACCTGACGTTCAAGAACTATGGGCTCACCGTGGCAGGGGACAAGACGGTCAGCATGTCCTGGAACACGCCTGAGGAGACGCGCAACAGCAAGAGCTTGATCACAGTCGGAGGGGAGGACCTGGGCAATGTCCGGACCTTCAAGTACCTCGGGCACGTGCTAGCCGACGACCCAAACAAGCCGCAACACATCACTCAGAAGATCAGCTCTGCACGGGCAAAGTGGGCGGAAATATAGGGTGTCCTGACGGACAAGGAGTTGAAGATGACAACACGGGTCCGGATGCTGGAGGCGATGGTGCGCAGCAGACTAGTCTATGCAGTGCAAACCGAACGACTCCGAGCCTCCGAACAAGACAAGCTTGACAGCCTGTGGATGAATTTCTGCAGAAAGCTAGTCAAAGGCAGGTTCAGCAAGAAGAAGAACATGGACGGTGAGGACACCTACGTGTACAAGTATAACGCCAGTGAGATACTGCAAATCTGCCGGACATCCCAAGCGAGCGAGTTTTGTCTAAAACAGCACGTCAAGTACATGGCGCACATTACTCGCATGCCCAACTCAAGCGAGCAGAAACAGTGGCTGTTCACCGAGGCTGAGCATATATACACCCGAAACCAGTGGATTGCCCTTGGCCAGGACCTAGGCGGACTGGACGAAATGCAAGTTAGGCGCATTCTCTTCAACCGAGAAGAGCTCAATGCATGGCTTCGGCGCCACGAATCACAATGGACGTAAAACGTCTGCGAGTGACAACACCCATAATGATGATGATTGAATATTTAGGGAGCAAACTCACCGCAAATCCAAAATGTCTTGGGAGATTTTGGATCTCAATCTTGAAGATCTCTGAGGTGAAGTGCTGTTGCATCAGATAGTGATAAGGATCCGTTATGGCAGCACCAGTCACCGTACATCAGAGATGCTGGTGGAAGTCAAGATCTGATGCACAAATGAACAGATTAAAAAAATTGATATGGCTAGAGCTATATTGTCTAGGTCTTTACCCATGACAATTACATAGCAACAATCTGATGATAGCCGTAGCCATAGCTCTAGAAGCCCGTTTCAGACACAACCTAATAAGTAGCAGATCAACAAAGTTGCAAGTTATGCATTATGCATCTGATTCCAAATGTATACCAATCTTTGTGCATACATGTTGGGGTTTGAACCCCGGACAACTACAAAGTTAGCCAAGTAGCATCACATAACTCAGTTTATAAGTGGCGGCGCCACCAGATAATAAGTGGCGGCCGCCACATAGTAAGTGGGCGGTCGCTGTACAAAAAAATATTTTCACAAGTACCAAAAAAATATATTATATATTATTGAGTGGCACTATCCGTCTTCCGTACATGAGTGATTTGGATGATTCTTGTAGTAGAAATGTATAGTCAAACAAGACCAGACCAAATTAAATTTGGTCTTGAATGACAAGTTTGGGTTGAATTTAGCAGAAATTCTAACCCAAACAATTGGTTATAGAACAACCCAAGTTTGGGTACCTAGTTCTAGTTTTCACCCTTTGTTGGGTAAAATTAACCCAGGCAATTTTTCAGTATATTCTCCCTCCTCATGCTACTGTATTTTTTCTGTTTACACAAAGGTAAGTTTGATGATGCTGCGAGTACAGCGCTTCACCTCGAGTGTTAACAGTCTGAGATACATGCAGTCGAAATGTTCTCTTTGAAGGTATTTGTGATAGTGATAAGGTCACAGTCCGCGTTTGATACCTTATTTTCACTCGTAGGTAAATCAGGGAGGTTATAGTCCGAGAGCCCAGTGAGGTTTAATTAGATATTGCACACAAAAGGTTTGATGATGGCAGCGAGTAGGTGGGGGCGTCTAACCTTCGAAACCGTCGTTCTTAAAGTGTCACCCCCCGTGCATTTGGGAGGGGGCACCGCCTAAAGACCCCCAAAATTGACTTTTAATTAGAATATCGCGCACAAGCACGATTCTAACGTGAACAGATAGGCCTAGTATTCGATTAACTATCAATAACCAATAGTTTAAGAATGAGAAATCCCGTGCATTACATGCTTAAGAATAGCCTAATTAGTGCTAATTCTTCACCTTTAATTAGAATTTTGAGCACAAGAGCAAAACCTTCACTAAAAGCTAATTAACGTCACCAAAATGCAAGATCCGCAACTTAAGAATGGATTTTCCCGTGAATTTTGTGCTTAAGAACGAGTTAAAGTTCAATAATTAGACGCCCGCTAAGAATGAGTTTTTCATGTGTTTGATTAGAATGTTGAGCACAACGATCATTCCAACACCAAACGAAAGTGTATGAGTCAGCGTTTGCAAAATTTCAACTTAAGAATAAAAAATCTCATGCAAAATCTACTTAAGAACAGCTTAATTACCGCTAATTACTATTGTATGGTACGGAGGCCGATTTCTGCACGCCTTAAATAGTGAAAACGTAAGTGTTATTGCAAAATAACACGGAACACTTGTAAATAGATGAACTCTTTCGTGAACCAGCGCAACAGGATTGAGACAAGCGCATCAGATATGTTTCTCAGTCCCAGATTCATGTCGTATCATCATTTATGCAATGAACGACCTTCAATGAGATGATATGAAGAAACAAGTGGCGTCAGGTTGCAACATTTTTTCCGAAAAGAAATCAAGCAGTAGGATATGAACCAAAGACTTTTCAATTCATTCAAGGATAAAGGCTACACCATGGAACAAAAGAGGAATCAAACTTGCTACTTACTTTATCATCAATGGTGTAAATCTTAGTCAGCACAACTCTGTCAATCAGTGGAGGTTGATCCATGTCTCAATGGTGTGCTCGATTGATTGCCTGGTCCACTGCTTCGTTACCACCCAAATATCTCCCCAACTAAGAGAACTATCTCAGACTGGTTGATTTCGATCAGCTGTTTGAGCAAAAATAACAAAACAGGAATAACAGTAATCACAAGGAAACGAAACATTTTCTATCTTTGTGCAGTTCTCTCTTGAAGGGAATAAATTGTATTCTGTTTTTTTACATGGCCTTTCTGCTTACACATTGGAAGCTACGGCAACAGTTGAAAATATGTTACAACGAGTTGCAATACGACGGCTGTTTCTTGTAAAATGGATTCGCTCAGACTGTATGGTTACACATTATTATACTATCGGTTGAGAGATTGTACAAAAAACAGCCGTCACATTGCAACCTGCATGCCGGATCGACAAGATCAATATGGGCGATTCCAGAGTCACTCGCATTTCACTTTTTTGCATCCTTTTTCCAATCTTAGTGGTGTACTTTTTACAAAAAAGAGAATTCATTTTTGGTTTGGAAATACTCAATATAGGCCTATAAGGCATCAACCGTATGGTATTATGAAAATTAAATGATACTAAATATGAGCATGGCATTGTTGGACAAAACCGTCCGTGACTCGCATTTCGTGAAAAGTGCGTGCCAAAAATTGTCTTGGTTTTAATTGAAAAATTTCCTCAAACCAAATGGACCACAACCAAATGTACTAGATACCTAACATACTAAATGAGGGTAACAAAATATATTCAACAACTAACTGTATTGGAGGGGAAAAGTCTTAGCTAAGTCTTTTCAAACAGCCTTTATAAACTTTTTCAGTGTGCTCAAAATACTAATTGCAATGAAAATAAGTCAGGTGTGTTTACAAACACAAATGCCCCGCAACCGTGACTGTTCCCATGACATAACACCACTCTTTTAACATCAACTTACACTTACCGTACCTTGGTCACATGGAACGTTCATTGACAGCATTAGTGTCTTCTGTAGGTTTTATATGAATTAATCCCTAATCCCTTTGATCTCAGAATAAATACAAGATTTTTATTGTTTAAGCCACTGTGACCTTGACCCTTGACCTTTCGGCTCCAAATGCAAAAAGACAAGATATGTCGGGACACACACACACACACACCCATACTTGTTTCACATGACTAGTGTGGACTTTACATTGCTTTCGTGTAGTTAAGAAAAACCAGTGAAAAAACTCATTTTTCTCAAACTGTGAAAACTCTTTCAACCCAATTTTTTTTCTATGATTCCCTTTAGTGTTTCTCTTCATTCTGCTACAGATAAACCTAACCCAAAAATGCCTCTAAACCTGTTTTCCAGAAATGGGGAAACACTGTGTGGACGTGGGGTAAGTCCACACAACGTCGGTGCTACCTACATTATGTGGACGTCTTTTGTTCGGAAGTCCACACTGCGTATGTAAGACAAACTCACACACCCACACCGTCGTGTTTTACTATACCCCTGAGGACAACCTATTGTGTTTCCCTTTGTCCCTCTAATGTAACACTTTCCCATAGACTAAGCACATAACCGTACAATCGAGGACCGGTTTTAACAATAGGCACCGTCGTCTGAGGATCAAAGGCTCCTTTGTGCTCCTTTTGTTGTCTGTCCTCGAGCGTATATACAATACAAGAGCACCCACCCACACACACACCCACACACCCACCCACCCACGGAAGGACAAGGCGGAAACAGTATGCCCCTTCGGCTTCGCGGCGGGGCATAAAAAGTATTTTAAGTTACTGGGGAAAAATGCTGTCACACGCATTTCCGTCACTCGCATTTCAGTTAGTCCATTAAAAACCACCTGCATTCATGCACTTTCTGGCCATTAGTTTTGAGTTCTGATGCAATTTTGATTAAACAAAATTGCCAGAGCATACATGTGTACAATATCTCAACAGTACGGAGAGTTACATATGATTCAGTCAACCAGACAACTGATCAGTGAGATGTGAGACATTTTTAAAAACAGCTGGAAAACAATCCGTGGCGACGACTTATAAATCAAGTCCCTGTTAAAACAAACGGAAACATGCCCATGTGCATGCACAAGAACCTCATGGGTGCGTGTGGTGGGAAAATAAAAAAAGATCTTTGGGAAAAAATGAAGTGGGAATGTTTAAGGTTGTAACAGCTAGCTGCTTTGTTTTTTGCTTGAATTCTCTTTCGCAGAATGAAACTTTTTTCTTTCCACTCATTTATTTAAAATGTAGGGCCCCAACAAGCTGCTACATGTAAGGCTCCAATAATTTGTTAAAGGCACACAGGATCATTTGCATTAATCCCAAAAGTAATCTACTGGTGCTGATTTTTTATCAAAAATTGGCTTATTTGGCGTAAAAAAATCACACTGACCATACTAAACACCCCGTGAAATTATTCTGTCCAGCTTGCTGTCATTAAGAAGAAACAAAGAATTGTATTGGTGATTTTCCAATGATTAGTCAATTCTTGACTGATTTTGCGAAATATACAGAGTGCTATGGACGAAATTGTGTTTTGTGATTAAAAGGTTTGTGCACGCACCGTGATTTTTCACTGTTTTCACACAAAGTGTATATGGCCATTTTCACAATCAGTGGTGTAACTTTGAAATGTTGAGGTTTTGGTCTATATTTCTTGAACCAGAGTATAGAATTCTTAGATTTTTGGTCCTACAACTATCCTGGGTAAAGGCTACCTAGGGTAGCTTAACAAAGTTCCCGTGTTTCTTCATATGGATATCTCAGACCCCAGAAGGGGCTCAATCCTACCACTTGGAGTGGTCCGTTTTTAGGCAAAAAAAAAAAATAATATTCGGTCTCTGGTCAGACCAAAGTTCTGGAATTGACGCGGCCACGCAGTTTTTTTTTTCTTCTAGCTTGGATTGTACAGACAAGGTGGGGTGCTATTTTACTTTTTTGGTGTCCTCATGTACATTGGTGTCCTCCATAATTTGCCTTGGTGCTTTCGATCATTTGCCTTGGTGCAATTTCCCATTCCTTGGTGCTCTTTGGTAAAATAAAAATTGAAGAGATGCGGAAATAAAGGGCGCTGTTGGAGCTACCGCGAACATTTTGGAAAAAAAAAGATCGACGCGCATGATTAAAATCGATGCGCGCGCTGACCAGAGACCGACTTTTTTTTTTTTTTGGGCCTTAGGTACATGTACCTTTTTTATTCAACCTATTTATATTATTGAGCATGCAATTCCAAGTTGATTTTGGGTTGTGATTAAGCCCAAGGGTTGGACCTTTCTGTCATATATATTTTTGACCACTGTTTCTGTTTCCGTTCTGTAGCTATGTCATTAAGAGTTGTCATGTTTCGGAGGATACATTTTCCGTTAACTTTTGGTGTCAATATATTATGCATTACTTCTCATATTTGGAAATGGTAAATATCCTACATTTTCAAACATTTTGCTGGTGATTACATCTACGTTTGTTCAACATGTTACCCTTTTGGCTTAGCGGCAGCTTCAGGATATTGCATGCTTTCAAATATTGTTGTTAACTTTTCCGTTAACAGTTTTGTAACCTCCGAAACATTGGATTATGTGGTCTAACTCTGAAATGAAAGAAAGTGGTAATAAAGTGAATAAACTACATGTAAAAAGAACTGTTATGATAACCCATCATCCATAGAAAATATCTTTGGAAAGGAATGTTGACTTTTTGGTTAAATGTGTAATGTTAAATTTCCGTTAACACGCGTAACCTCCGAAACACAATGTAACCTCCTAAACATTTCAGTTTGGTTTCATTCAGTTTACTTCTCTCAGGAAATACTCTCAGACCTCAACATAATGTGTATTAACACTGCAATCACAAAAATAAAAATAGTTAGGTTTGAAAGAAAAGAATCAAGAAAATGTGTTATTTGAACGCATGATTTTGATACAAACCTGTTTCGGAGGTTACATGTTAACATAAGTACAACACAAATCTGTAATTTGTAGGCACCATGCACTTTTTTCTTTCACCTTGTTTTGTATTTTTGCATCTCAACCCACTTAAAATTACTGACAAAAAGAAAAAAAAACTTGTTTCCTTTTTTTTTTTTTCTTGGGCTGCAATCTTTAGTAATTTGTGTTAACATTCTCCGAAACAAGCACAGTTGTGAAGTTTTTTGGCAACAAACTTTAAATTAAATTTCACTTTTTTGTAAATGCAATTGGTCAAACCATTCCTGCCATTAATGTAAACATTGCATTTAAAAAACAATTCTGCCATGGCTTTAAATTGTAAAGAACATAAACAAGTCATATTGTGATTTACAATACTGTTTCGGAGGTTACATTAGCTTCAACTCACTCAAGCTGCATTTTTAAAACAGACTGCAGAGTCATCAAAATTTAAATACTCATTGCAGTAATAGCCGGATCTGATTAACACTTGAACATGTTGAAGGCTCACTTATAATTGCAGTAGAGGCAATTTAGTGCAATTTTCCACATGGATTTGGTTAAACTACTTACGTACTTGTTGCATGTAGTTTCATGAAAAATTACTAAATCTGACCAAATACCGTACATTGTACAGATTTGGTAAAAAAAACATTCTGTCATTCTGTGTCGGCAATGTCAAACATACACAAATGTCAGCTTAAGAAAACGATGACATTTGTTCTTTTTACCAAATTAAAACAATGATTCACAATGCAATTTGAATTTAATTTAAAGGTACTTGGACATATAAACGTAACAAGAATACTGTAGACCAGTATTTCAGAGGTGCATGTTTTTGGCACTGATCGATTACGGACATAAACCACTATAGTCTAACGACTTGTCATCAAGTCTACCATAGCGATTGCGGGCCGGAGTGGGGCCGAATTTGGTATAGGAGAAGCAAATTATATGACATACGCAGGCAACATTGTGTATAACGTATACCGCATGAACCAACACGCACGTACTGTACATGTACGTGGGTAGGCGTACAAGAGCCGTGGTCGAACCGACAAGAAAACCAAATTGGTTCTCAGCCACAAAGCGACGTATCAAAGAGGCTTTTCCCTAAGACTCTGCCATGGTTGGTCACCCACCCAAACCTACACATGAAAACATGGAGGGGACATTCGACATTG